TCAAGGCTTAAGGAATGTCTTTAGCTTTGCATAAAGAATCAGACAAAACAAGAAGATACCGCAGAGAAGAATATATCAGGATCAGGCCACTGACCCTCTGAACAGAAGCAGGACAATGATAAAAAGAAAAAAACAAGATAGTTATTACCAGTGGGGTAGCCGTTATGCTACTCTTCAGTGATAAGCACTAATTCTGACTCTGCTTTTTAACAAAGCCTATGGTTTGGAGCTGACTTGCGTCATGAGGCCTTTTCGGACACTCTCTGTTCGGTCCTGCCTAGTGATGCGGTTCTGTATGCATGCAATGCAAGTGCTCAAAATGGAGCCGTGACCTGCTTAAAAGGTGTCTTAGGCGACTAGAAGCAAGAGAATGGTGCCATTATGCCGCTTCAATCCGGTATCAAAGGAGAGAGGGCTATTTCTCTCAGCGGCGGTATCGATAACTAGCAGTATACCCACAAGATTGGGTCGGGTTCATTTTTATGTATAATGAAGCATCATGTACTGTAGTTTCAAAAGACAACAAAACATATCGGATGGTATGTAAGACTTCCTTTCACCTGTACCCTAAAAATCGAGAAAAACAAACATCTACCCAGAGTTGCAAAACAAGAACGTGTTCAATGACGAAGGAAGAGTTGCAGACAGTCGTTCGCAATATTCCACACAGCTGCTGTGCAAATATCTGTTGTTGAGGGTGCTAAGCGATGACTGTTTCATAATGGCATTGGTAACGGCCGGATGGCAATGACCCACTAAAATACTTCAAGTTGGAAAATGTGAACAATTGAACGTAATGCATAAAACAACCAACCGTGCTGTACGTTGTTGATGCAGTCCAAATATCGGTTACCATTTTCGTCGTACAAGTACTGACGGAATGCACGGCACACCATCAATGGGTCTTCCTTGAAAAACAAGGGCAATGCCGGTCTAAACATAGCGTCAACAGCAGAGCAAACAAACCATGAGAAGTAGTTAGTCCCTCAAACAGCAAGGCATGCTATAAAGAAACTCAATTTTCTACCATGTTTTTAATGCTGGTACACTGAGAATATTCAACATAAGAAATTAGTCTCTGCTCTTGAATCGTCGAGAGAAGGTGAAGTCTTGTAGGTGTTACTTGCTCCAATTGAGCCCAAATATTCTGCTTATTAATGGCCAGAATGAATTCTATTCCATTTTACTCATCGGAAAAAGTTTTCCAGCATAAATCACGAGTAGCAGTACGCAGTACTAAACGGAGAAAAGCAGAATGGAAAATATACTGCACGACAACTCGATGCACTAACATTATTTCGATTTACTTCTTAAGTAACTCGAAGATTATCACTGCTATGTTGAAAAAACTAGACCTCACGAATTATTCGAGTAATTTAGCATGAACAAACACCAGTAAGTACATGTTGTATATTCTTAAACACTACGGAACCTTAGCTTGCTAAAATGGCTACGCTAGGCGACTAAAAGCAAGGCAGCACAATACTGCGGCATAATTCAGACTAACAGATTCTACAGGTCTCACAAGCGCAGAATCGGTGTAAAATAAGAAACTACATTATTTTCGACGCGTAAATACGGTATCAGTAATTTAAATATAATATTCAACGGCAAAACTGGAAGTGTACATCGGTGGTAGCTACCCCAGTACATCGGGTTATGTTTTACCTTATTTTCTATAAATTTTCGTAAGCGTTTC